TTATCAAATGACCCAGCAAGTCTTTACCTTGAGGAACTAATCCTACAAATTCGTTCACGTGGACCAAGTGTTGTTCACAATAGCAAAAGACTGGGAACAAGCTAACATCCATCAACAGGGAGTAAGATAGCCTAATTACTTAAGGGACAACTACAAAGTGCAATATCATTAAATCACACACACACACACACACAAACTACCATTAAGTTCTTTATTATGTTACAAGAAATGATGAAATGGATCTCCAAGACATTTTGTTGCAAGAAAAAGCAAGATGCAGGACAAAAATAGTGTGTTTTACCATTTATATTTTTTAGAAAGAAGGGACAGAGGACATGTGTGAATAATTTGCTTACAGATGCATAAAATGTCTCTGAAGGGATGCACAAGACACTGTCTTAGCTCCAGGAAGAGAACCTGGGCGGCAGGTCGAAAGGAGTGGGAGGAGTCATCCCCCGCACACCCTCCCTTTCGCATCTTTTGATTTCTGAATCAGGTAAATGCATTACCAAGTCAAAAAACACTTTTTTTTTCAAGGGTGTTTAAAGATCTGCTCTTAGAAGAGCAGATGAAAGAATGAAAGGATGAATGAAAGAAAGAATGAAAATAGATAATAGCCATTTTTCCATGACTTTACCTGACCAAAGAAAAAGGTGGTAAACCCAGGCATGGCCTCTAATTCTGGCCTCTGAAATCCAGAAATCTGAGGATCCCTATGCCACAGGCAAACCAAGATGTAGCTGACCACTAACGTTTTCTCTGGTCTTTCCTACAAGAGCTGGACATGGCTGAGCCAGCTGTAATCACATGTGTTTCCTTAAATAAATCAAATTCTCCTAAGTCACTTAGCTTCATTTCCTTAGAAAACTATGTTTATTAGCTTAGAAACCTACTGAGGCGTGTGCACAATGCTGTTTTAATTTTAAAATGCTGAAACACAACTGGTATCCTGCAACTTTCTGTGATGAATACATGACAGGTTGGCTAGTAGGCATGTGAATGGATGAGTCTGAACTATTATTACTATGCTCAGACAGCTGTGGTATCTAAAGAATGCTAATGTGATTATCAGATGGTACAAGGATATTCTCTAAGTAAACAAAAACAACACTACTGGAATACTCCTACAGGTCAGGGAAACTTCAGTTCCCGCCAAAAAATCGACATCAACATTTGGACTTCACAGCTGCATTTATCACAGTCAGTCAATAGTGGGCCCTAGCTTACCGCAGTTCTGTATCTGGTACAAACAAAGATACACCAAACTCTGTGTTCCCATAAAGCCTTCATCTGAATCCTGGACATATGGCCAGAGGCAGACACAAATTCCCACATGGACGCAGCTCCAGGCTCACTCTGCTGCTAACAGTCTCACACGAACCTGATAAAAAGTGCTGTTCATGTGCTGCCAGGCTGGCAACCAACAGGACCAAAGTGTGGAACTCACAAGCCAGGTGACTAGGAGGCCACACAAAAGACTTTGAGAATTACAATAGTGCATCATGCAATGGCAGGATGCTGCTGAAACCTCACAGGGCCACTGTGTAACGGCTTAATTCACACGGCAATGCTGATTTTTCTGAGGAAGCAGAAAACCCATTGAGCATAATCAGACGGGAAGTTCCGCCTCTGCAAAAATAAGGAAAGTATCACANCCTGGCATTCTTGAGTCTGCAAGTCCTTCAGCCTCCATGTTTTGACTTAAGAGCAAGAACTATCACCAATAAATAATGGCAAACATCTCTCCAGGAGTGCAGTGAAGGGAGTCCCAGCAAGTCACAGCTCTTCTCAAGCTTTAGACTTGTAGACTCACATTTATCATTGCAGTTAGATGAACCAATGGGATCCCTAAAGCTGCCTCCTACCAGGCGTGTAGAATGTGCTGGAACAGAGGGTGGGGCTTTCTTCCCTTACCTGCTCTCTTGTTGAGACTCTGCCCAAGATAGACACCACCGCCATGACATTGGAGCTCCCTTCCCTGAAGTCAAAATGTTTATGAATCCTAATGTCAACACTTCTTTCTTAACCCATCAAACTGAATTTGTGCTGGTGTGGATTAGATAAATACTCTCACTAACTCACAATAGTTCAATCCCTCTACCCACATTCCCAACTGTATTGCTAACCATTTGCTTATAGGATATTATGAAATTTTTATTTGCAGCCAAGCAAGATAATAGCATCAATTACAGATCATGTTTGAGCTGCACATAGGTTTGCTGTATCAAACAAATAAGTTAATATATGTAAAGTGCTAAAAAGAATGTCTGGCACATAGTAAGGGCTCAATAAATATCAGCAGTTATTTCTGTTGGCTATAATGCAATGCCGGATACTAAATGTGACAAAAATCAGTCAACAATTTTATGTACATAATCACAAGAGAAACAGTAAGTCTAACAAAGAAAATAAAACCAATATAATATAACTTGTTCAGTACCTTTCTGCATGGTGAACAATGTACTATGGGAATATATTCTACGTATATATATCAATGATAGGATATAATAGATAATTTATATGAGAGGGTATATTTGATCAATCACATCGTCCTTGCCTCTTTTTTTTTTAGAGAATATTTTATTTATTTATCTGGCTGCACTGGGTCTTAGTTGCAGCCTGTGGGATCTAGTTCCCTAACCAGGGATTGAACCTGGGTCTCCTGAATTGGGAGTGCACAGTCCTAGCCACTGGATCACGAGAGCCGTCCCCCATCCCTGCCTTTGACAGTGGCAGAATGTCAGGAATAGATCTTCAGTGTGGCATATATATACATATTTTTATATATATTGGTTTCCTTGGTAGCTCAGCTGGTAAAGAATCCTCCTGCAATGCAGGAGACCCCGGGTTGATTCCTGGGTCAGGAAGACCCCCTGGAGAAGGGGTAGGCTACCCGCTCCAGTATTCTTGGGCTTCCCTGCTGGCTCAGATGGTAAAGAATCCGTCTACAATGAGGGAGACCCGGGTTCAATCTCAGGGTTGGGAAGATTCCCTGGAGGAGAGCATGGCAACCCACTCCAGTATTCTTGCCTGGAGAATTCCATGGGCAGAGAAGCCTGGCAGGCTATGGTCCATGGGGTCACAAAGAGTTGGACATGACTGAGCAACTGAGCATACACGCATCCCTTTAACTGGTTTCTCAAATACATCCATTATGACTGTATCACTATAGAAAGAGATCCACTCAGATAAGTCAAAGAGAAATAGGACCCGTCAGCTGAAAAATTTCTTAAAACTATGAAAGATTTAAACCAGGCTAGTATTAATTCAGCTATCACCTCACTACACTGAGAACTTGAGAAATAAGTGAGATAATCGAAACCTGAAAGCATGATGGATGAAAAATTAAGAAGCAAATAATCTCTCTTCTTTCAACAAATGAGCTTGCCAGGGATGGGAAAAGAGTGTTTTCAAAGGCTGACAAAGGAAACTGCCTTAGGAAACCAACTGCTGTCCCTTTTCCCCCACTTTCCAGGAAGACAAAACACAGGAATTATATCATCACAGACTTCCCAGCTAAGATACGCTGAACAGGCTCCAGCAAAGCAGGCCAGCTTGAGCACAAAGGGATCCCTTCTTACAGTGAGATGACAATGAGTCTCATGTATTTTCAACCAATTTATCTGTCTTCCTGGTTGAAGAACATATAACAGGAATCCAAGTCGCAAAACCAGTGAATGCCTAGAGAAGTGAGATGCGACCTTCCAAGAGGCTACAAAGGAGAGACAAAATGTACAAACCACAACCAGAGGCTCGGCTCAGACTATGAGTGCGAGAAAGAATAGGAAGCACTCAGCGGCTATTACGCCAGGCACTATGGGTAAAGTTTTACACGCGTGTTTCTTTAATCCTAGAATCTATGATGGACTGTGATGGACTCCTTTCTACAAATGAGGAAACTGAGGCACAATGCAGGTTAAACCACCTGCTTAAGGTCACAGTGGGGAACGTGCAGCAGGACTGCAACCGGAACACAGACGGCCCGCATCCAGTCTGGCTCTCTCCCAGTTCACAACACTGCTACATGGGAAGGGCTTTTTCCACAGGAAAAAGACGATGATGTCAGAGGAGCTGCTGGCTCAGGGAAGTTCCTTCTCAGGGATTATACCCACTGCCAGCAGGGTCAGGAGCCAGCAAACTGGAGGAAAATCGAAACAACACAAACCTTTATCCATAACTCTCTCCGCTGGTCCCACTGGAAGAGAGAATTCTGTAAGTCAGTTTTAAGACTAAGTACTTGGCCTACAGTCAGGAATAGTAAAATACTAAGTAGCGCTAAAATCGAGTCATCATGCAAAGAATTTCAATTAAAAACCTGTCTCCTTGTTTCTGGCTCAAAGAGTATCAAGAGGCGCTTTACACACTGCGGAAAAGGATGTAAATTTTGATGCAACCTCATCAGAAGGCACTTTGGCAATGTCCATCAACCTTCTGACCAAGCGGCATAAACGCTAGGAATTTATCCCAGAGATTTACAAGCTGCAGCGCGCCCTGGAGCACTGTCTGTAACAGTCCACAGAGGGGGAAAGCAACCTCAGTGCCCAGTGATGAGGAGTCTGGTGAGGCAGACTGCGCGGCAGGCAGTGCTGGGATCCCAGGGAGAGGGCGCCGACAAGGAATGCTCGCCAGGGTACACTACTGAACAAAGCCTGGGGCACAGAACAGTGTGTACACTATGACCTCATTTCAAAGACATGCTCTTTTGGTGTATAAATGTACCCATCTATGCATTAAAATGTTCTAGATGGATACCTAAAAACTGTTAATAGTTTCTTCTATGGAGGAGGGCTGGGGGAAGGGAAGAGAAAGGAAATTACTTACCACTTTGTATCATTTTGAGCTGCTTGAAATCTTTTTAACCAGGCTGACTATATATATCAATGTATACTGCCTGAACACGTCTTTTAAAAATATATCAGAGAGATTTAATTTTCAAATTGCCTCTTAAAAAATAAAACTCATGTTTTTTTGTTAAATCGTATATCTTGCTATTTTTGTACCTTGTTTCCTTCGTACACCCATCCCAGACTCTTCACACCAAAAGCAGCCTGGTTGGCGGAGACATCCAGACACGTGACTGGCTGCCCGTAGACGTAATGGAGGGTTCTGGCAGAGTCTTCAGCTTTTAGCAGGTATACCAGATCTCCAGCAGTGGCCACTGCCACAGGGTACCTTTCAGTGTCTGGAACTATTTCAAGGTAGTCAACCTATTAAAGGATAAGGGTTATTTAGTCCTTCAGGTTTCACCTATAATTCGTCCTGACTTGGTCAAAAATACACAATTCCTCCTGCATGTCAATGAGAAGATCAACCCAACAGAAAAAGACAGGTCAAGGGCCAGTTCACAGGAAGTGAAACACAGTTCCTACACAAATGAAATGATGCTCATCATAAAAGAAACACAGCATACTCCTAATAGGAGAAATGCAAAGTGAAAATTCACCAAGATACCATTTTCACTTGTTGTGTCAGTAAAGATCAATTAGTCTATAAAGACACTGGGCTGGAAGTGGAGTGGCAGACAACCATATTTGTGGATCCCACTTACGGTTGGTGGGATGCAGTCTGGCCCAACTTCTATGGAGGGAAATCCTGGAACATTTAATGCAAGCAAGTGTGCATGTGCTCTGATGCAGCACATTTGATGATCCAGGAATTTATTTAAACATAAACTCATATTTCTGCAAAACAACTGTGTACAAGGTTATCTGCTGCAGCCCTGTTTGGAAACAGCTAAGAACCAGAAAACCCAGAACATGCCTTACTAAGGGACTAACTAAACAACTTACAGTACACCGATGTACTGGAATACCATGCAGTCATAGAAAAAAGCACAAAGACATTCTTTATAAACTCTTACAAATGGATCACTTCTGAGACAAACTTGGGCAGGGGAAGCAAGGAGGCAAGGTAAGAGGACTTTACAGTGGGCCAAGGTGTGTAAAAGTGGCAGAGGAAGCCTGTGACACACGTGGTTTGTACGTGCGTAAATCTAACAGTGGCCACCTTCAGGGAGGGAAATGAGTTGTGGGACAGAGCAGAAGGGAGATTCTCACTGTAAACCTTATTGTGTCTTTTAAATTCTGAACCATGAGGCTACAGTAACTATTCAAAAACCAAAGTTAGTTCTTATTTCTTCATAAGAAACTGAATAAATGACAAAATTCACTCAGTTCTAAATTAGCCAAAACTGCATTTTCACGTTTGGGCAAATACCACAAATGAGTTGCCGGAAGTGTCTGAGTTAACCTGCTTTCTCCCGGTTTCAACCTCATCCAGGGTAGGAAGGCCACAGGGAGCGTGCGGACGCCACACAGTCCTGCCGGTTGCACTATTGCTACCACTTTCTCTAATCGACATGCACAGGAGGGGCCCCCTTTAAGAATAATTTGCTTTTCTAGATTCATAAGGGGCATGCTTGCCCCAGGGCCATTTACATCAGGTTTTCACCTCCCTGAATAAATTCTGAGGACAAAAGCAGAAGGTGAGCCACCTCTGTAATTATGAAAATCCACAGTCCCTGACAAGAAGCCAAGCAAGTTCAAAGGCCTGAATCCTGAGACCTGTCCAGAAGCGCTCAAGAGCGTAAACATCTGGGTGACTCTGCTAATCCTCAGGCCCGACGATGTGAGTGGCGGCCCACATCCCCAGCCCAGGGGCCATCACCAAGGACAGCTGTTCTGGGCTGGCACTACAGACCCGGGAACACTGCCACTGTGACTCAGGGAGCCTATCTGAGGAAGACAAAGATGGCCCAGCCACCGGCCCGGAGGTGCCTTTTCCAGGGATGGCCCTCATCCAGGATGAGAAACAATGAACACTGTTATGACACATGCCTCCAGCAATGGCTGCTTGAGTCCTCTGTCCCCCATCCTAAACGTCACTTCTTGCTTTCCTAAAATCAACATCCTCAGTCTAGCTGTTAAATTTCACCTTCATGTTGGATTTCTGACAGACCAAGAGCTCAGACTGACTGTGACAGTGCCATTTGCTGGCAACTGGACACAACTTCACAAAGCTTCTGGTTGGTGCCAGCATGCCACCTGATTGCCAAGGCTGGATTTGCACTTTCTGGAGGGACTCACATCTTAAGTAATTGTCTGAGTTTATAATCATTGTTAATCTACAGAGTTCTTTAGGCAGAGGCCAAATAACAAGCACTATGTGGTTTTGAGAAGAAATGGAAATATGGCACTTTTGCATTTCTCTAATAAAATCCCAAGAGGAGAATACAGCACCAGGCATTTTGGGGAACGCTACCCCCTAACCAGAGAGGCTTGTCGTTAAAGGGACAAGCGGCTTACAGAGGTAAAGTGGTGATACCATGGCTTTTTAGTTATTCGTGTCTAATAAGATTTCCACTAGGAGGAAAAGGGAAAGGAATAGGATTTGTTTCAGGTCAGGCCATCAATTTATTATTCAGTGTTGGCTTTTCTGTTCACTCTCCTACAAGTGCCAAAATCAAGTTTGCTTTAAACCAAACCCAAATTCAACATAAACAGGTTTCAGCTCTTCCTTCTTACCATCACATCGTCTCCCACCATACAAATGTAGAGGCTTGGGCACAAATGAACTCAGAAACGGGCTCCATGTAATGAACTACTAAGGCGAGCTCAGTTTCACACACAGTGTCGAGGAACACCGTGATCAACACTGATCAACACTGACTAAACCTCTTCTCATTCAAGAATTACTCCTGATGCCAAGTGAGAAAACCTTCAGATGGAAAAAGTGTAGGAGGGAAACCTTCTTTCCCACATGGCCCGGGATGTACCAATGCACTCATTTTCACCCATGTATCAGGCCAGATCCTGGTCTCAGATTCCTGGGATGAACGTCCCGTTAATGTGAAGGAGGCTGAGGATGCCAGCGATGAGAAACTGCAGCCCCCAATGTCAGTCCTGGGGTCGAAATCACAACTTCTTATCTAGGGCAACAGCCAGTTCACCACTGGCAGTCTCTACTGACTTCTTGGTAAACAGAGGAAACAAAACTTCCTATTTCACAAAGCTCCTGTGAGATTTATGGACAAAGAGCCACAGGAAGCCCTGAGCGGATGGGCGCTGTCAATATCATTTCTGTTTATATCAGACCCAGAGATTCTAAGAATGAAAAACAGAACAATCAGACTAAAAGCTCACCAGTTTCTGAACTTCAAATTCTGCAGCTATTTGGAGATTTCCCTCCTCGTTGGGGCATAACATTACGACATCAAAAGCAGAAGCTGTGGCAATTGTTGCATCTTCCTGGCTGAGGGCTAGTGCTTGTATTCTTGCATCATGCTCAAAACGATGAATAGGATACTTTCCAGTCCTTAGATTCCAAATATTAAGAAATCCTATGTAGAAAAAAATAATTGAGGAATCAAATTCACTTAGTTTGCACAATTATAAAATAATCATGTAACATAAAGAAAATTTAAAAGATAATAACTTGGTAAAAAATACTTGCATCACACGTAATGGGTCAATTTCCTTAATATACAAAGAGTTTATATGATTCAATAAGGAAGAAAAGCAACTGAAAAGTAAGCAAGGACATAAGCATGTTATGCTGTTCACAGGAAAATAAATAAAACTGACATATAGCATTTTAAAAAATATAAAAATTCACTCACAATTAGAAAAATACAAATTAAAACTATAATAGGATACTATTTTTCATCAGTTAAATTGACAAAAAAATTCAAAAAACATTTTGTTGCTGAGGATATGGGGAAACAGGCTTTTGTTAAACTGCTGTTAGGAATGTAAACTATTTCATCTAAGTCTGGAGGCAATTTTATAATATGTACCAAATTACAAATGCAGGTAGGATAGTCACTACAACATTTTTAACCATGTCAAAAGATTGGAAGCTATGTAAATGTTTACCAATAAAGAAATTCTTAAATAAGAATTTAAGAATTTAAATACCTCCATAGTTTGTACCTCCATTGTTTGGAGTTTAAAC